TCACACAATCAACTGGAAGGAAGAATCCCTAGAGGAAGTCAAATTCAAACATTTACAGAAGACTCCTTCAAAGATAACAAGGGATTGTGCGGGACTCCTTTGAAAGATTGCGGATCTGATGTGCAGCCGCCGTCAACCGTACCCACATCCAAAGGCAACAATTCAAATAATGGAACCAAGATTGACTGGAATCTCATAAGTGTTGAAGTGGGAGTTGTTTTTGGCTTGGCCATTGTCATTTTACCACTTCTGTTTTGGAAGAGATGGAGGATATGGTATTACACACGTGTCGACCGTGTTCTTTTCAGGTTTTTTCCTCGGCTAAATCAAAGAGGCAGAAATCGTGGGCGGAGAGCTCCAAGGACACGAGAGAGAAGGATCTAGCAGTCTAGCACGGTCGTGACCAAAAGGGAGCCCTACGTCCTGATATAGTTGTTATAGAAATAAGAGATGCATTCGTCCAATTTCTTGTTTGTTAATCTTTAAGCCTTTCAAACAACCTTTAAGGTATGATGATATTGAGAGGTTAAGCTAAATTTCTATGCATGTAATTTCTACTCTTTGCAAATTTCTAGTCTACTTTATATTAAAGAAACTTATAAATTGATTGCCAATGAAAATCCAAGCCTGCCCAAAAAAAATGGGAAGGTTAGAATCTTAAATTCCAAATTGGTGCAAATGTTGGAATTTGCACCTTTATATTTCTGTGATTGATCTAAGAACAGCGGTTTGCCTTTTTTCTCTCTTTTTTTTTTTAATAATAATTCTAAAAGAAGGATTTTAACAAAAGAGGAATTATTTCCAAGGATGATTCAAGCCTAACAGTAGTTCAGGGAAAGGAGTATGAGATGCCTAAGAATTTTCAATGGTCAAAAATATTGATACTAGCAAAAGGTCTAGTCACAGTAGTACTGTTTATGGCCAACGTGAGCTGCTCACCCATTTCTTGCCTCAACTTCGTCGTTGCCTACAAAGTGATCCTTCTTCTCAATAACATGAGGAGGTAGAGTCCTCTGAATATCTTTTACTAGATGCTACATATGAAGGGACCTCTGCTTTCTTAATGAAACTTCATGATACCCTGTTGAACTTTCCGCATTTCAGGTCTGCTAGCTATACTGCAACCATTTGGTAGGGTATCTGATGGCCCAAATTTACTGCATGTGTCAAGAATAGTTTGAACCTCACTAATTTGAGAAAATCCTTTCCTCAACTTGGGCAGTTCTTTGTTTTGCACCATTCTGTTCACAACTGCTGCAGATTTCCCTCATGGCCAGTTCATTTTACTAATCAAGAGATACAAAGCTGTGCAGGAAGGTCAAGCACCACAACATGAACCTCTCCCTGGGGACAACCAAGTCCAGAAAGGAGTATGAGCGTTGTTCACCGTCCAAGTTGCACCATTGATACACTATTTTCCTTCCTCTAGGGTAGTGTTGCTTCATTCCTGACTTGAAATCATTAATGGTATCCTGCAAGAAAAGCATATCTGAATCTAATTAACACTAAAAAGCCCCACTTTCCTGCACATTGGTTGGTGAACAAATCTAAATCATTGAAAGGATTAAAAAATAATAA